GGATTTATCTTTTTCTTCTTTCATTTCCACCACTTCTTGCCTCTTACAGTAAAAAGTATATGTGCTATTCAAATATATGCAAATGAGTGTCTGCATGTAGATCCGTCTGGAGGAATAACACTCGAAATAATGATTAGTGGTTACCGGAGGTTCTTAACCCGGGGAAGCAAATATTCCTACGGTTTTGTGTGCCTTGTACTGACGTGTGTCGCTTTGGAAATCTGAAAATAGGAAGCCCTGTTTGGAAGGACAGGAAGACGCTGCCGCCCGTGACTGCCCATGACCCAGCCGCGGCCTGCAGAGCCCTCTCTGGCCCCTTCTGGGGCACAGCTGAGCGCTCGCTGCCCGTCCCTCTCCTGCCAGGATGCCAGCCCACCACCCTCACCTCCTGGCCTCTGGCTTTGGGCCCAGGTACTGGGGAGAAAAAAGCCTACTTTCTGAGGTCACCCCGTGGCCTGGCAGCCCAGCGGCCTCCATGATGTCACCTGGCTCAGCCGAGCGCATTCCACCCACGCAGCTGCAGCCTGGTCCTCAGATGTGGTTTGCCAGACCCTTCCTTATTCCCCCTGTGCTGTGACAGGGCCGACTCACGTGTCCATCGGGTGTCAGAGCACACGGCTCCGCCCTGGGCAGGCCCTGCCTCACCCCAGCCCCCTCTGGCCCACCACTTCTGCAGGACACCTTTCCCTCTCCGTCTGCACCCCCCGCCCCCGCCTGCAGGTCCTAGGATGACTCGGGCTGTGTCCAGCTGTCTCTGCTTTTGACGCACTGACCGGCAAATGTCCCTAATTTCCCGCCTCATGCAGCTCCCAGATGAATCACGTCAGTCATGATACTCCGCAGCTCAAGAGCCTTCAGTGACTCCAAGGAGGACCCACCTGTGCAGTCAAGCCTGCGTGCTTTCCGCCTGCCGTTCCCACCAGACAGGAAGACATGCCACAGAACTGCCACAGCCAATCAGGACGAGCCGTGGGGACGCGTGGCTGGTGCAGCGGTTAAGCCGCCGCTTGGAACGCTCACATTACATCTCAGAGGGCTGGTGTGAGCCCTGCCTCCACCTCTGCTCCAGCTCCCTGCTACTGTGCACGTGGGAAGCAGCAGTGATGGCTCAAGTCCTGACTTGGAATGAATTCCGGTCTCTTGGCTTCAGCCTGGCCCAGACCTGGCTGTTGCAGGAGTGAACCACCAGGTGCGAGATCTCTCTCTCTCTCTCTCTCAAGTGAAAAGAAAACAAATTAAAAAGATACTTGAAACATGGGTATTTCCCATGGGACTGGTGTGGCCATCGTAAGGGAAACAAGGCTGTGCTTAGCAAACTGGGACAAATGTATGGATATCCCAGCAGCACCAAATACCGTTCTTGGTTCCTGAGCACATAACTCAAAGAGATTCTCACTCAGATTCATAAGGGACGCGCTGGAGGGCGCGCACTTCCGCTCTGCCCGCCGGAAGGGAGTTGAGTGCACCTGGGTGTCTTCCCTGGGAGAGTAGAGACAAATGTGGGAGATGCGCCACTGGAACGCCACGTGGCTGGTGTCACAAGTCCCGGGTGCTGCACTTCCAGTCCAGCTCCCTGCGAATGCGCTTGGGGAGGCAGCGGAAGATGGTCCGCTAACACCCATGTGGGAGACCCTGAAGGAGCTCCTGGCTTCGACCTGGCCAAGCCCCAGCCATTGAGGCCATTTGGGGAGTGAACCAGCAGATGGAAAATCTCTCTGTCTCTCCCTCCCTGTCACTCTGCCTTTCAAATATATGAATCAATCTTTAAACACACACACACACACACACACACATTGGAGACAACTTGGGAAATTTGACTTTGGATTGGATATTAAATGACACCAAGGTATTATTGCTCATTTTGTTGGGTGTGGTGACAGCATGGTGGTTAGGGGAGAAATGTTCAGTGCTGGGGAACGCAGAGCTCAGGAACAGAGGGTGGGTGCAGCGGCCTGAAGTCTGAGGTTCACTTTCAAGTTGCGTTCAGCAAAGAGAAAAAAAGCGAAAGACCAGGCATAAGTACGTTAGGCAAAGGTTGAAGCAAAATGTCAAGGCAAGATCTGGATGATTTTCCAACTGAGAGATGAGTACCTTGGATTCATTGTACTCGGATCTACTTTGCTGTGTGTGGAAATGTTCATGAGAAAATATAAAACAACAGCAGTGATACAAACTTTCACAAACAACTTCAGACAAAAAGATACAGAGTAAACAACCAGCGTGAGGGCTGGAGGGGAAGACTCAGCAGGAGGGGAGGGCAGGAGAGAAGGAAACAAAGAGGCAACAGGAGGCCACCACCTTGGCTGGCTCTGGGCCCCGAAGTCCTGGAGGAGAAAACATCCATGACCTCCCCTGCAGCTCTACCCGCATGCTGTTTACGTTTTTCTAAGGTTTTAAAAATAGATTTATTTATTTATTTGAAAGGCAGAGTTGCAGAGAAGCAAAGGCAGAGAGAGACAGACAGAGAGAGAGAGTCTTCCATCGTCTGGTTCACTCCCCAATTGGCCGCAAGGGCTGGAGCTGCACCGATCCAAAGCCAGGAGCCAGGAGCTTCTTCTGGGTCTCCCACGCAGGTGCAGGGGCCCAAGCACTTGGGCCATCTTCCACTGCTTTCCCAGGCCACAGCAGAGAGCTGGATCGGAAGTGGAGCAGCTGGGACTCAAACCAGCACCCATATGGGATGCCGGCACTGCAGGCGGCAGCTTTACCTGCTACACCACAGCACAGCCCCTAATTTTTTCTGTTTTAAATCCTCACTCCTGGTTCCAGCATCCTGGCACAGTGGATTAAGCCACTGCCTGCTGTGCCAGTATCCCATGTGGGCACCGTTTCAAATCCCGGCTGCTCCACTTCCTATCCAGCACCCTGTTGATGGCCTGGGAAAGCAGTAGAGGATGGCCCAAGTGCTTGGACCGCCATAGCCACATGGGAGACCTGGAAGAAGGCCTTGGTTCCTGGCTTTGGTCTGGCTTAGCCCTGGCTATTGCTGCCATTTGGGGAATGAACCAACAGATGGAAGATTCTCTCTCTTTCTTCTCCCTCTCTGTAACTGCCTTTCATGTAAATAAATCTTAAAAAAAAAAAATAAAATAAAATAACCCCTCACTTCCACACACACAATATGAGAGGTGTTCATTAAGTTAATGGAAAAAATGTGTATTATGAAAAAAAGTATGCTTGGGTTTTAAATTCTCCTAGCTCCGAGTAAACCTACATTTCCCAGAAACTTTTGTTTTTCTTTTTTTTAAGGAGGTATTTTTTAAACTTTTATTTGTTTATTTTTATTTGAAAGGTAGAGCAACAGAATAAGAGAGAATCTCCCATCCTCTGGCCCAAATGCTTACAACACTGGCCAAAGCCAGGAGCCAGGAGCTCCACCCTGGTGTCCACGCGGGTGCAGGGGCCCAAGTCCTTGAGCCGTCACTTGCTGCCTCCCAGGCGGTTGGTTCATCAGCAGGAAGCGTAGCCTGGACTCCAGGCAGGCGGCCTCATGGGGATTTCGGGGCAGGAGCAGTGGCTCAGCCGCACCTGCCCCGGGATTACTCCGCCTAAGGCCCCCTGGGCTCCCTCAGCCCGACGACGCGACGCGGGGCACAGGGTCCTGCAATTCACCAGCTGCGTGCGATCTGCGGCGTCTGGGCCCTTTGGCTCGGTGGCGTCACTCCCCTGCCAGGGTGCTCACCGGCCGGCCGCACCTCAGCCCAGCAGTCCAGGTCGCTTTCCGGAGGGTGGGGCGGCTCAGCACGGTTTAAACCGCAGAGATGACCAGCGAGGGCGCCAGCAGCCTCCACGTTTCCCCGCCGCCTGCCCGGCTCTGGCTCCGGAGCTCTGGGGTCTGAGCTCTGGGGGCACAGCCGCGGCCCCGCCCCCTGCACGCGGCCAGGAGCGGTGGGTGGACAACACAAACCCTCACACTCTCCTCCGAGCGTGGGCGGAGTGGGTGGAGCCGGCGGCCCCGCCCCCAGGCTGCTTCCTAAAGCCGAGTTCCCACGCTGGTCCTCGAATGCAAATTGTTGTTTAGCAGTTTGGGACCGGGTCCTGGGACTCTGCATTTCTACGAAGCTTCTCTCCTGCCGGGGATGCTGTCTGGGTAGAGTGTGGCCCTGTCCCAGCTCCCCTGGCGCCGGTGCTGTTACCCCAGTGAGACAAGACTTTGGAGCGAGGGCGGCAGCCTTGGCTAGGGCAGGAACTGTCCCGGACTTGGAGGTAGCACTTGAGATGAAAGGGAAGAGTAGGATCTCCAAGGAAACAGTGCCCAGACAGCTACTAAGTTGCCAGGACGGGCAGCCTGCCTGCGGGAGGGGGCTGCCAGTACCCCCACCCAGGCCCCCAGCCGCCAGCCTCAAGCCCTGGCTTCTGGGAGCAGCAGGCTGGGACTGGGGGGACTGGCAAGCGCTGGGGTCAAGGCCCATGCCTGAGCACACGCAGCTGCTGTGGGTGGGAGGTGGGCGCAGGGGCCCGGGTTATGTCTGCCACCCTTTGCCCTGCCAGCCTGGGATGGGTCAGCTGGGGATATGCACAGGGAGTAAATATAGACTCGGGGAAGGAAGCCAGGCGCCCCGCCCTGCGCTGACCTCTGGCTGGGAGTCCGCAGAGGCCAGGGAGGGAATGTGTCCCAGCACTCTCCTGTCTAGGGGAGGGTGACCCCGGGCTCAGCAGCCTCCCAGAGTTACTGGCAGTGGCTGGGGACAGGAGCTGCGCCTCAGTGTCCTCCCGAAGGAGCTATCCGGCATGCTGGCCTCAAGGGTGTGGGTCCACAAGTAGCAGGACACAGGGGCCGGGGGCCCTTGCAGCGCCTCTCCCGCCCCGTGGCGCTGGGTGCCTTCTGCCCCTGCTCTCCTGGTGCTCAGTGCTCGCCAGCTCCATGCTCAGGCTCAGACGAGCTCGGCCTGGCTGTTGCGGCCCCCATCGATGCAGCCCTGCCCTGGCCCACTCCACGCAAAGACCGCGTGACCCTGGATCCACAGCTCTGGGTAGGGGCATTCAAGCAAGGCAGCCCGTCCCACACAGACGCATTTATTGGCAAAAACGTATTCCAAAGCATCAAGGGGAAGGGGTACTAGTGGAGTGGGCGACTGTCCTTAGCAATGTCCAAGGAGCAGAGGGCGAGAGGAGACAGGGCATCCCCGTCAGAGTAACCATACCCACAGCCCCCAAGGGGCTCGCTCACATTGTCACACTGGGTCCTCGTGAAAACCCCACGAGGTCGGTACCTTCGTCATTCCTCTTTTGCAGGTGCGGAAACCGAGGCTCAGAACAGGGCAGAGGCAGGAGGCAGCAGGTGGATGCCGGCTCTCGGGCGTCTGTCACCACCTCCTTTCTTTTTGGTCCCTCTGGAGCCTCAGTTTCTCCCACCTCTCCCCACTTCCAGTTCTTTCAACTTTTTTAATATTTTTGTTTTATAAAAAAATAGATTCCCTCCCCCCATGCTGGAGAGCCTACGGTCTTCTACCCCAATTGGGCAAAGCTGGGTTCTCCCCAGGGTTGAGTTCGGGTGGGGCTGGGGACAGTGCGTTTCTTATGGGGGATCTGGGAGCCTGTATGAAGCTAAAGTACAGTGACAGCCCTTAGAAAATACACAAGTAATAAATTACAACCCTCCCTCCCCCGCCTGCCCCCGGCTCCCACCCCCCCCCCCATTCTAGAATAGACTCTGCATTGCTCCCTCTCGCCCACGCCAGGGCAGGGTCTGTCTCAGTCCCCTCAGGGTCCACAGGGTCCAGGGCCTTCAGTATGTGTTTGTGGAATGAATGAATGAGGGCATGCGAGGGAGCCAGCATTGAGGAGTCCTGCCTGCATCCCGGTCCCTCTCCAGAACACCTCTTTCCAACCCCAGAGAAGGGGGCTTCAGGTTAGGGTTGGGGCAGAGAGGGGAAGGAGGTCACGGGGCACCTCTGGGCGTGGCATGGTGGGTGACCACGGGAGGACGCCCTCTGTGGCTCAGGAGCTGCGTGGCCTTGGACAGGTGTGGAGAATGCTGACTACTGTATCTCCAGACTTTACAAAGCCCTCTTCCCACATGTATCTTTGGTCCTCAGCAACCACTCTGTAACGTGGGTATTATTATCAACATACCCATTTTACAGAAGAGGAAGCAGAGGCTGCAGAGTTCAAGGGACATGCCCAAGGTCACACAGCAAGCAGGCATCCGGCCACCCCCCGCCCCCAGAGTAGCCCTCTCTCTGTGCCAAGAAGAGACAGAGCTCAGATCTCAGTCTCAGTAGAGACCCCCAAGTGGCAGCGTGGCAGTAGGAGGGACTATGGGACCTAATCCCCCGAGGTGGGCCCCTTGGCTGTCTCTAGCCGGAAAAGCCAGTTTACCTTTGGTGGTGGTTTCCCATATACCCCCCTTCCACCCAGTCTTGGGGCCACAGCTATTGCCCAGGAAGAGCCTGGGAGTCCCTGAGGTGCCCATGAACTTGTGCTCTTCCTGGAGAGCGGGGGAGTGAAAGTTGCAAGGGGGTGTGGGGTCTAGGCCAGCCCCTCACACAGGCATGGTCACTTCATCATATTCGTCCCGACCTTCTTCCTCGTCAAAGGTGGCCTTGGCGTCGTCGGCATCCAGCTGCAGGGGTGGGACAGGAAGCGGGGAGGGTAAGAGCCTCTGTGGTTAGGAGAGGGTCTGGCTGTCCCTGAGCCTTGCCCTGTGTGGTCCCCAGCCTCCCAGTGCGGGGGAGGGAGGGTCTGGATGAGTAGTTCCAAAGTGGAGGAGCCCCTGGGGATCTGGTGCCCAGAGGGGTAGAGGGGAGCAGGGGGCCCCTTCACCAGGGCACCCCGCCGTGGCCTGGGCCGTGTCATGGAAGAATTCCATTAGCGGAGCATCTCTGTGCCAAAGGATCTGGAAGGTGCCAGGTCTCAGGGAGCTCAGGGCAGCCCCACCTGCATGTGTGTCTTGAAGGCTTCCGCACCTGTCGTTGATCCTCCTTACAGGTGTGCAAGGTGGAGGCACAAAGAAGCCACCCGCTCCACATCTCTGCAGGCTGGGAGCCAGACCCAGGCCCTACCCCTGCGCTCTCCCATCCCCCCTTGCTGGGAGACACGCCTGTCACATTCTCCCGCCCCTCTCATCTCTCTCCCCGCCCAGCCCCTACAGCCGCCCAGGCCGGCAGCCACTCACACACTGGAGCTCCAGGTTGCTGAAGATATAGGGCAGCAGGAGGCGCCGCAGGGGCACAGTGAGGATGAGGACAAAGGGCAGGGCCAGTGAGGCGGGCGTGGACTTCACCACCCACAGCGCGACCAGACAGATGATCTGGATGCCCGTGAACAAGTGCATGCGCCAGGTCTTCACCTGCAGCCGGAAGCTGGGTTCAGCGCCAGGCCTGCCCTGGCCCGCCCACCCCTGCCTCACATTGGGCCACCAGGAGGGCCTGTACCCGCTTGACGAAGGGCACGTCTGGGTGGTACTTGGGTGGCTTGAGCAGAAGCAAGATGCGGTCGAAGAGCTGGATGCCGCTGAGAGATGTGACCCCCATATAGAGGAAGATGCCAAAGAGCACGGCCAGGGGGATGCGGGACAGGATGGGCTCCATGAGGATGGACAGGCCTAGGGGCAGCAGCACCGTCAGCCCCAGGCCGCCCAGGGGTGGACGTCCCCGGGGGCTGGCTCGGCTCTGGGGCTGCACAGTGAAACCCCAGGTGCCATGCAGAGCCTCCAGGAGACAGGCTCAGAGAGGGGCGCAACCTGCCTGGGGCCACACAGCCAGCCTCCTCCTGCACAACATCAAGTTCACCTCCCTCCCTTAAGAAACTCCCCTGGCCTCCTCACCCATGACCAGGACACTGCCCACGCGGAGCCCTGTGACCCCCACCGGGACTCAGCCCAGAGCGTCAGCCCTTGCAGCTGAGCTGGAAGGGAGTGCAGATGGGGAAACTGAGGCTCAGAGACCAGGAGGGGTTCTGGGTTAGCAGCAGGGCAGAGCTGAACCCACAGTTCGTTGAACCTTTGCTGGGTTGGCCCGGGAGGGCAGGGTCCAGTCTGGAAGAGAGGCCCTTCCCCCTCCAGCTCAGATGCCCACCCCAGTGCCCTGGGCATTCCTCCAGGATTCCCTCCTTCGAGGACCTGGTGCTAGGGAGCTGTGGGTGGCAGGGGGTGGGGCGGGAACCTGCACTTGGGGGAGAGGCAGATGACCTAAGGGGCAGGGGCTGGGGTCAAAGACAGGGCAGGGAGGTGGCACAGGGCACGGCCAGCTCTCACTCACCCACGAGCACAGAGACCAGGAGCCCGCTGATCCTCTGCTCCTTGACCTCCTGGATCTGGGCCGCAGCCCCTGGGCTGCTCGCCTTGCCCATGACGGTGAGAGCATTGGCGTGAGTGACAGAACGCACAGTGGTGGCGCTGAGCCAGGGCATCCCGAAGAGGGCGGCCACCCCGCCCATGCCCACGACCAGCAGCAGGTCCAGGTGGAAGCCGGAGCCCTTGATCATCTTGCGTTCCGGTTTGCTGACGATCAGCCTGGGGGTGGCAGGAGTCAGGGCCGAGCCCCTCCCTCCTGCCTCTCCATGCCCGTGCCCGTGCCCGCGCCCATTTCCCACTGTCCTCCCGGCTCCCCTCCTCCCACCCATCTTGGGGTCAGAGGTGCCCCAGCATCCACTTATCCAGCCCCTACTTAGACTTAGTTTGGGAGAATATTTCTTCAAAAGAGCTCTCCAAATTGTGCAGTGCCAGGTCTCACGGAACCTGGACCTGTCCCCGACTGCCCGAGGCTGCCTGGGGGCATCTCATCCTCCCACCCGAGGCCCAGCCCGGCCCTAGCTCTCACGTGGTGATCTGAGACTCCAGGAATATGAGAATGAAGACCAGCAGGGCTGGCAGGGCGGCCCCAAACATCATCCAGATGGGGAACTGGGAGAACAAGCCCAGCGGGTGGATGACCCAGCCCCTGGCCGAGGAGTTGGACACCTGGAGGCCGCTGGGCACCGAGAGTTTCTGTGGGGGGGGGGGCAAACTGGTGAGAACAGCAGGGGCAGGGCGACAGGGAGCTGAGGGGGTCTGGGGAGTCAGGGCGCTGGGGTTGAGAAGAGGGGTGGGGGCACTTGGGGGCTTCCCTATCTTGAGCATCCATTCTGCACCCAGTTACTGCCCTGCGCCAGACACGCGGCTTCTCACCGCCAACTTTACAGATGGGGAAGTAGCATCAGGGGTTGGGTAGCTGACCCCATAACCCCACAGCACATGGCTACTTGGTGCCAGAGCTGAGATGCATACCCAGATCTGCCTGGCTCCCAGACTCTTACCTACTACCCTGGATTAAAGGGATCAGCCTGGCCCAGCCCCTTGCTTTGGCCAGAGGGGGTCCTACGGGGTTGTGGGAGGGCCCTGGGCTCCTAGGGGAGGCGGGGATGGGATGCAGACAGGACTAGGAGTTGGCTTCAGGTTGAGGGAAATGGTCCTTGGCTAAGAAGTGAGAGTGGGGACAGTGGGTGGGGTTTGAGGGCTGGGAGGAGGAGTCACCTGGGTGTAGGTGTCCTGGATGAAGGAATCCACCAGGACCATGATCAGGATTGAGATGGGGACCCCAAAGTCTCCGATGACCCGACGCAGCTGGGAGCATGTGAAGGGACCAGCGGTCAGTTGTCAGGGGCTCCCACCTCTCATCTCCCCCCGCCCCCAGCCCTCCCTCCTGTCCCGCGTTCACCCAGGGGGCCCTGTTCTTCCGGGGGACTCTGTCAGCATCCAGTGACCTGTCCTGCACCTCAACCGTCCTTGTTCCTTTCTTCTCCCTGGCCCACAGCTCCCCCATTCCCTCCCAAGAACTGTGCCTGGTTCTCAGCCTGGCCGGGCTGAGTCAGGCTAACTGGCAGGGAGAAGCCCTCGGAAGCAGGGGGCCTGGAGGCTTGGGAGTAAGGATGGGGATCTGGGGAAAGAAGGGAAGCTAGGGCACCGGGAAGTCGGGAGGGACTTTGGACTGATGCGGGCCAGTGCAGGCCGGGATAGGTGGGGAGGGGTGCTCACCATGCCAGGGAAGTAGGAGCTGTTCTTGAACTTGCGCAGCATCATGGCAAAGAAGAAGGTGCCGGCCATGAGCACAAGAGAGAGGAGGGCAGTGTTGGGCAGGGGGCCCTGAGGTTTGGGCTTCATTACCACATTGTGGTCGTATCGCCCCTGCAGCGGGTGGTCCTGGAAGATCTGCAGGAGAGAACCAAGACATCCTGTTCCCTCCCAGCCTTGGCCTGGGCTGGAGAGCACCAGCTAAGTGTACCCAACACTGTCATCCGTCCATCATCCATCCGTCCATCATCCATCCGTCCATCCATCATCCGTCATCCGTCCATCATCCGTCATCCATCCATCCTTTATCAGCTGAGGAGGCAGAACACCCCACTGGCTGGGCCCTGTGGCTCTTCAGAGCAAGCGCCTGGGCAGTGGGAAACCTCAGAGCCCCGACTGCCCTCTCCACGCATGTAGCTTCCCCTGCAGTCTCACACACACCTGCCCACTAGTCCCGTTGTGTGGGGTCACGGTCACGGACACACATACACAGAGTCATCCTCACTGCACAGACATATGGCAAGAACACAGGCAGCAGGCGTCAACATGTCAATACGGTCTTGTGTGCAGATGTGAGTTCCCCAGTCTCTCTCTCGCACACACACACACACACACACGTGTGCATCATGTGTGCAGTCACATGGCTGTGCCACACCAGCGCTGGACAGCCACAGGTGCCCTGTGCACACAGCCTGTTGGTTATCTCATGTCTGCAGTGACATCCCCGTGGGCCCCCACCTTGATCAGCTTGGAGAAGGTCTCGTAGATGAAGATGAGGGAGATGAGGAAGGAGAAGATCTCCTGGGTGTAGCGCGAGATGAAGCGGACCAGGAAGCTGCCCTCGAAGGCCACCACCAGCACCACCAGCAGGATGAGCCAGAAGCCGATCCACGCCCGGCCCACGATGTACTCCAGGTTGTTGCTTTCGCAGAACTGCGGGGCGGTCAGAGGGAGTCGGGTCAGACAGGTGGCCCAGGCCCTGCGGGGGCGGGGGCAGGGGGCGGGGCAGGGGTGGGCAGGGGCGGGTCTGAGCTACCGAGAAGAAGGCTTCCTCAAACACCAGCAGGGGTCCTGAGAAGCCAACCACAAGCAGAGGCTGAGCCCCCAGCAGGGCGAAGAGAATGCCCTGCACCGCCGTGGAGATGAGCAGCTCCGACACCCCCATCTGGTTCCGGGTCTTTTCTCCTGGGGGCAGAGGTCACAGTGGGGTCAAGGTCATGAGCTCCTTTCCAGGGGCCAAGGCAGAGGCCAGAGGGTAGGAGGTGAGAGGGACACAGGCGTCGGCACTGACCCAGGAGGCCGCCGAAGGTGATGGCGGGGGACAGAGCGGCGAAGTAGATGAAGATGACGGCAGCCAGGACCTGGGGGCTGAGCGCGTCTGTGATGTCGCTCAGGTAGTAAGGGTAGCGGCGCCGGATGTCACGCACCAGGCCCCCAAAGAGCCGGCCTGTCCGCTGCAGAGGGTCCTCTGGTTCGCCGGGGGCCCCAGCACCCCCGTTCAAGTCTGCGGTGGAGGATGAGGCGTGGTCAGGCGGGTGCGGTGGGCGTTGCCCAGTGAGGAGGGGGTAGCCAAGGAGGCTGGGGGCACAGGCTCAAGGACAGGGTGGGCTGTGCTGGGAGGTCGGGGGATGGGTGGGGGCTCAGGGCCTGGGCAGAGCCGGTACCTAGGCCCTTGTAGAAGCTGGGGTCTGGCTTGGCCGGGCTGGGCAGGTAGCGCCTCCGAAGCAGCTCCCTCTGCACAGGCACCAGACTGAGCAGGGCCTGCTCGGAGGGCACGTCCGTGGGCGGCAGCACCAGACTGCAGTCCAGAAAGCCCTCCAGGGAGTGCACCAGCTCCCCCCGGCTCTGGGTCAGGTAGGCCTCGGTGCGGAACACCTGTGGGCAGGAGAGAGGCTCAGGGCTGCTGGGACCTGCTGAGCGACAGGACCCTGGAAGCCACAGCCGAGGTCCCCAGGGACCAGAACCCTCTCACCGACTCTCGGTGCTGGGCACGCCTTGCCCTAATCACCGCTGAGGAAGGGCTTCGGGCACACAAGCAGGAGAAGGAGAAGGAGCCAAGGCAAACCGGGCAGGTTAGGCAGGGCAGACGAGGCCAGCCCAAGCCAGCCCTAACCAGATGGGACCAGGCCAGAGTGGGCCCGACCAGCCCAGCCAGGCCAGGGCAAAGGCCCGGCCAGGTGAGATGAGTTAGGCTGGCCAGATGGGCCAGACACAGCCGAATGGGATTGAATGCATCAAATGGGAGAACCAAAAGCAACCCAGGCTCGCCCCGGCCCCCCTGGCCGCTGCCCCAGCCCCCACGGAGCCCTCCTCACCCTCTCTGACATGAGGGTGGCTGCGGCACGGCCAAGCTGGGTGTAGTCGGTGTGGGGAGCCTCGGGCCCCAGCAACACGAGCAGGAAGCGCACAGGCACAGGCAGCTCCAAGGCCTCCAGCATCGCCGCCTCCTGCAGCCGCACGAAGCCCAGCACCGGCCGCTCCAGGAAGGTGGCCCGGCCTGGGGTAAGGGGCAGGTGGGAGGTGGTCAGGCCCGGTGGAGGGGCCTGGGAGGAGGCTGCCGGCACCAGGCTCAGGGAAAGGCAGCAGGGCCCGCAGGAGAGGTGGGAGGAGGGAGTGGCGAGGGGCAAGACCCCAGCTCTTACCCACGAGCACCAGGGTGGCCTCCGAATCCGGGGGGATCTTTTCCAGAACTCCCGACGGCGACTGTCCCTCCGTGCCGCCCTCTCCCTGGAGGAAGGGGGGCATTGAGGGGTGCGCTCAGACCACCCTGGACCCCAGACCCCTCTTGCCCTTGCCGCGTTTGGGTAGGGGGCTTTCCAGCTGTCCCTGCACAGCCTCACCTGCACACAGAAGAGCTGCGTCTCCAGCGAGGGCTGCTGGGGGAGCAGTGGCTCAGCAGGGTCCCCAGAGCGTGTCAGGACCACGGGCTTCACACCCCCCAGGGCCTCCAGGTCTCCGGTGTGGCTGCAGGACACACAGGGGATACCCGCTGAATAAGCTGTTCAGGCTATGGAGGTGAGCAGTGGGAGGGATGGGGGGGGCAGACATCAAGGAGGGCTTCCCAGAGGCCAGGCCGGAGGGGCCCATGGAGGAAGAAGTAGCCGAGCCTCCACTCAAAGGCCCCTGCGCATGTACGGGGGCAGCTCCTGCCTGGAACCACTGGGTGGGAGCCAACGAATGGATAGAGGACGGGCTGGCAGGCAGCAGCTCGGAGCACAGGGTGTGGTCACTCTTGGGAGGCATCGGGGAGGACGCATGGGCCCGCAGGGCCACCTGCAGCTCCGGGGAGATGCTGAGCGGAGAGGTGTGGGCCTGCTGGGGGCAGCGCCCGGACCCCAGGGGGCAAGCGCACCTGTGTTTCAGCAGCAGCGCCCGGAGCAGCTCATCTCGGTCCTGGGGCCGGATCTGCTCCTCGTAGATAAACCTGTCCAGCAGTTGGTTGGCTACCCCGGCCAGGGAGGTCTCCGGGAGGTCCAGGAGGAAGGTGCCTGTGAGCAGGGGAGGGGGAGGTGAGCCCCAGGCCGCGGAGCTGGCGCGCCGCCGGTGGCCCAGGGCCCAGTGGGGCTCACCCTTGGCGAAGACTCTCTGCAGCTCCAGAAGGCTCCAGAAGGTGAGGTAGGACAGGTGCGGGCGGCCCCAGGCGCCGTCCTGGCCCAGGTTCTCCTCCAGCCTCACCCAGTGCGCCGCCTCCATCCATCGCGGCTCCCGGTTCCGCTCGTCCATCACCAGCTCCTGCAGCTCCACGTAGACCTGTGGGCCGCGGGCCCACCTTAGTCCCGCAGGGACCCCGGGCCGCGTGGGCACCTGGCAGCTCTCGGGAGATGCCCGTAGGAGGCCCAGGACAGATCCCGAGCTCAGACCAGGCCACTGGCTCCAGCCCCCAATGTTCTGGCCAGGCCCTCACCCCGTTTCTGAAGGCACTTGGGGAACCTCAGGCCACTCAGGGCCAGAGTGGCTGCTTGGGGGCGAAGGGGCCAGGGCGTGGTGGCTGAGGCTAGAGGGACCTTCGTCGCCACGGGGCTGGGTCCCTGCCCCAGACTGTGCACCCTCAGGGTCATAGCTGAGAGTGGGTCCAGGTCCCTAACCCACAAGATGATCTGGTACCCAGCAGGACCTGGGGCTCCTCTTCCCTTCCCTTCCTGTCCCTTCAGGACACCCCCTTCTCTGCCTGCTTGTGGGGTTTCCCAGCCTGAAGCTGCCACTGTCCCTTTGCTTCCCCTTCCCTGGGGAGTGTGGGAGTCCCGGGGGCGGCGTGGAGGCGGGGACTGGGGGAGGCTGGTCCTACCTCGCGGGTGCCCGGGTGCGATGATGTGGTGGTGTGGTAGTCGGTGGGTGCCGGCTCGAAAGGGGAGGCTGGAAATCCAGAGGTGCCGTTGGTGCTAACCCCCAGCGAGTCCCCCTCGCACCCCAAGGTGCTGCTACGCCACCCACTTGGGCCCCTGAGGCCCAGGCCGGGGAGGATGCCCCCTCCCTCCCACCAGCCTGCAACCCTGGTGCCCCCACTGCCACCACTTGGTGGGACGCGGTGCCCACACCAGCCCTGGGCCCAGCCTGGCTCGGTCACTCCTCATCTGCACCCGGTGGAGGACCCCCGGCCCCTCCTCAGTGACCACAGGAAGGGACCTTCCGGGGGTGATCGGTGAGCGGCCAGGTCTGCTCCCTCCCCTGCCCGCCCTGCATGCGGGCTCCCTGCCCTCTTCCCACCTGGGGAGTCTCACCGACTGCACACTGAGCCGCGTGGCAGGGTGGGGCCAGCCTCTTATATTGCCCCCCTCCCCAGCCCTCATTTCCCAGAGGGGCCTCTTAACCTCAGTGTCGGTCACCAGCACTTAAGGTCCGTTGACAGTAAACAGGTGACAGCTCCCCACGGGGGCTCCCCACAGCAGGTCAGGGACCATGGCCTTGGGCAGGCTCCTAAGGTCTCTCTGCTCAGGGGGTCTCCACAGCCCCCCATTTCTCAGGAGCTTTGGACCCCAGGACAGAGGATGTCCCCAGAGCCAGCCCAGTGCCCGGCCTAGGAGCGGGCGTGGGGTGGGCTCGGGGGTCTGCGGGTGCACACCCTTGTCCCAGACAGGCCCCGCTGCTCTCCTGCACGTGGACGGGGTGCTGCGACGGGTGAGTGGCCCGGCTCTCCCCCCCCCCCCGCCCCCAGTCAACTCCTGTGATCATTTCAAACAACACTGTTTACCCTTCAATCAGCCAGAATTGGGCAGAGAACTGGGGGTAGGGGGAGGGGGGCCCCAGGCCCAGCAGCTCAGTGCTCGTCCTGGCAGAGGGAGGGGCTGGAGCTCACCTGCCGGCTCCTCCACCTGGGGCATGGGGACCCCGGGGTCTTCATACTCCTCCTCCTCCAGAATCTCCCCCAGCACCTCTTCGTAGTCCTCCTGCGGGGAGCGGAGAGCGAGGCTGGGCCGCGAGGCACCCCCTAAGCCCCCAGGGAGGTGGCGGTCCAGGGCTGGCCCTGCAGAGCCCCCAGGTAGGAGTGTGGGGACGCCGGGAGAGACCCACCTGCAGATCCCCCATGGCGCTGTCCTGCGTGTCTGATCGTCCACGGCGATCGAGGCCCCAGCATAACCCGCGGCGCGGGTCCCTGCACATGGAGAGGCACAGGCTGAGGGAGGCGCAGGCATCCTGGGGTCTCCTGTCCTCCCCCAGAGGGGGCTCCCAGGTACTGGGAGAAGGTGGGGGCAGAGGAAGGATGCATGCGGGGCAGGGGATGGGCCGCGCGGGGGCAGCAGGCTCGGCTGGCATCCATCTGAGAGCGTCTGGGGTGCGTGGGTCACGTGCGTCAAGGCCAGCTCCATCTTCCATTTGCCAGTCTCACCGGCCCCTCTTCCTGTCCATCTCCAGGACCCTGCCAGCTCCCCAGGAGCAGGACCAGTCCCCTTTCAGCTCCCCTGAGGGTCCGCAGAGCTACCGTCTGCCCCGAGATGGCGGCTTCCCGCTGGGCACGGAGCTGCCGTGTCCCTGGGAGTGGCCGCAGATCCTGGGGGACGTGACCTTGCTTCTCTCCCCACCTCGTCTTGAACCCTGTCTCTTTCTCTCCCTCCTCATCCAGCCCACAGCCTCCTTGTGGTTCCTGGAACTCACCAAGCCCTTTCCCACCCCAGGGCCTTTGCACGTCCAGCTGTCCACATTGCGAAGCCCTGCCCCCAACACCTCAGCCCTTCTCAGGTCTCAGCTCAAATGTCTCCTGGTCAGAGGCCCTCCCTGCTCACCCTAATAATGCCCGGTAGCCCAGTCTGTCAGTTTCTGGTTTGTGGATCGATTTTAGTGACGTCTGACTGTGCTTCTGGAAGGGAAACCATGGAGTACAAAGACCCTGTGTGTCTCTGTCCTCAGGAAAGCCCCTCCTCTCAGCAGAGCAGTTGCCACACAGTAGGTGCAGCTGACACCCAGTAGGTGCTCCATAGGTGTTTCTTGAGAGACAGTAGGAAGGGGTTCCTGTCGCGAGCTTGGAGCTCTGGGACTGGTAGGACCCAGCCAGGAGGCCCTGAGCCCTAGCAGGGAGGAGGGTGTGTCCATCTCAGGAATGCGAGGACGGGCCCAAGGGAAGGGCGTGTGTGCACGGCGCCCTCTCCCCTCTCACCCACTGGGGCGCAGGGTGCTGGGGTGACAGGGTTTGGGCTGGGTCAGGCTGTGCCCAGAGCCGGGAGGCGGCAAAGAGCCAGGCCCGCCCCTCCTCTGCAAAGCTCCCAAACCACCCCCCCCCACCCCCTGAAGAGGAACGGGTGCACGGGCAGCCTCGTGGTTCCCGAGATGATACATGTGTGCCCCCAACCAGCCCAGGCCCACGTGCTGGGTGCCCAGGAGGACGAGCAGGGTCCAGGGGTGGTGTCCAGGGTGGGGGTGGCCTTGGAGGAAGGGGCCCTGGCGCTGGGCGGGCAGCTCAGGCGGGACGGGAAGGGCTGAGAGGCCGGAGCCCCGCAGGTGTAGGAATGGCAGGGGCTCCCCCCAGAAGCTGCGCCTGGAACCTTTCTGAGGACCGGGGGCTCCTGCGTTCCGGGAGGGGGCAGGGCCACGACCGAGCCCCACCAGACAGCCACGCGAGGCGTGAGGCCTTGAGGAGCCTGCTCACACATCTGTCTGTCTGTCTGCCTGTTTCTCCCCCTCCCTCTCCTCTTCTCCCACCTTTTTTTATTTTTTATTTTTTTAATGTATTTGAGAGGTGGCAAGATAGAAGGAGAGAAGGAGTTCCCATTTGCCAATCCACACCCCAGGTGCTAGAAATGACCAGTACTGGGCCTGGCCAAAGCCAGGGGCCAGGAACTCCATCCGTGCCTCGTACAGGGGTAGCAGGGGCCCAACCGCTGGAGCCAGCGTGCACATCAGCGGGAGGCAGGCGTTGAGCGGGACTTACACCGGGGCACTCCTTTGTGGACATCCTCACCAGGGGTGTAACCCATGCGGCAGTGCCTGCCCTCCCTCTGCCGCCTCTCGTCTCAGGACCTCCTGGGCCTCAGAGCTGTGGCCTTAGCGTCCTATCTGAGGGGTGGGATGGTCAGAGCCAGAGAACCCACAGACCTAGGCTGCTTCTCCGTCACTGCAGAGCTGAATGGCCTTGGGCAACTCGCAGCTGCTCTCCAAGGCCTCAGTCATCCCATCTGTATAATGGGAGAGTCTTTCCACAGGGCCTCTGAGAAGTCAGAGACAGAGGCGGGGAGAATGGAGATGTCTTGAGCCCACGGGGGCCGCAGAGGGGCACCCAGACCCAGATTGCTGCCCCAGCCTGGCCCAGCTGCTCCCAGCTTGCTCTGCTTGGCACTGATAAGTGTCTGGTCCCTGATGGCTGCCTGTGTGTGAAAGCCACCAAACAGCTGGCCAGCCAGCCAGGGCCAGGCCAGATAAGGGCGGGTGGGGCATGTGGAGCTAGGAGGAGGCGGGGGCGACAGATGACAGGAATGCCTCCCAGTGGCATCTACCATTGATGAAGACTGTCACCAGCCCATTTTACAGATGAGAATGCTGAGGTTTGGAGAAGTGCACCTGCTTGTGTGGCTCGGTAGGTAGGTACCAGAGGCAGGATCACACCGTGGCCTCCTGCACTCCAGCCCTGTCACTAACCATGAGGGAGCAACGCCACATGGGGTGCCTGCATCTCATGCCCGAGTGGTCCCAGTCCCAGCTCTGCCTCCTACTCCCGCTTCCTGCTACTGCTCATTCTGTGGGCAACAGGTGATGGCCCCCACCCACAGGGAGAGACGGGGATGGCGTTCTGGGCTCCGGTCCTATGTTGCAGGCATTTGGGAGGTAAACCAGTGGATGGAAGATCTCTCTGTCTGTCTGTCTCTCTCTGTCTCTCTGCTTTTCAAATAAATAAATAAAAATGAAAAAAAAAATAGAGCATGACTCTGCGTTTGGATCACCTGGGTTCAAATCCCAGCCCTGCCGTTTACTGTGATTCAACTTCTCTGTGCCTCAGTTTTCTTGTCTGTCAAATGGGGGTGATGAGAACGACACCACCTCATGGACCTGTGTGAGCACGGAGTCAGCGCCCACACATAAGGCACTTGGAACTGTACCTGGCACACGCTCGCTCTCCTTATCCCTGCTCCAGGGTCAAGTTCAGACTTTGCCATCCCCATCCTTTTCCAGTTTACCTTCAGTACCCATGGGGTTAGCTTGAGCTAAGTGCGTTCAGCTTGGTGGTGGTGGTGGGGTGGGGGGGGACTTCCTTTCCCTCTAGTCTAGGGCTAGCATCAGGTCCCCAGGCAGACCCCTGGACGCGTCTTAAATGGGGAGCAGTGTCAGCTGCCATCTTGCCTCCTGCGTGGGAGATGCGGTGGCCTGGGGACCCCTGGGGGCAGAGAGGTCTGGGGTGGGGGAGACCCGAGTCTGGGAGAGCCACGCAGCTGGGCAGGAGGAGCCTGACCAGGACCCGCACCTGAAGGGGCCAGTTGTTCCCGCACACACACCAGCCACACGCTCCTCTGCCACCTGAACCAGCAGGCGCCGTGGGTTTGGACCTGGGGAGCGACGCTCACAAGATCACATTCTTACCCCACCCACCTGCACCCCCAGGAGGTCAGGGGGCTGTGCCCACCTGGACACAGATTCCTGCCGGCCACCTGCGAAAGCCCGCAGGGCAGATGCAGAAGGACCACCCCCAGCCCCTCCCTGCCCTGCTCACCTGCTCACAAGCCGTGGGGTCTCTCGACGAGCTCCTGCACCCGCTGGTGCCCTCTGTGACCAGCTGAGCCCGCGCCGGCACTAACTGCACCAGGTCCTTGCTCCCGCGCCCCGGGGGCAGCTTGCAAACCCCTGACTCATGCCCCCGCCTCCTAATCTGCCCGCCCCACGGGCCGGGAGCCCCTTCCCAGCCCCCGCCCTGCTCCCCCGTGTGCCCCGTAATCGGAGTTATCTCTTACCCACATCTGGACAGCTGTGGCCCACCCTTCCCGCAGCCCTCCTAGCACCCGTGAGTCTCTGAATCTTCCTGCCCGGGCTGAGGTTCGAGGGCTGGGCTCTCCCAGCCTCCCCGCGTCGTGCACCTGCCTGCGCCTGCCGCCGGCCCGGTCCTGCCTCTGCATCCTCCTCTGGGCTGCAACATGCCAGGGGCTTTCTCTGCTCTCCTGGCTTGGGGTCCTTCCCAGCACCTGCTCCTTCTGCAGTCTTCCCACAGGAACCTGCACAGTGCTCACGGGCCCAGAGTAGGGTGCCCGGGCCACCTCACCCCCAAGATCCTGGCTGACTCTGTAGAGCTGGTGGCTGGGAGCTCAGGTGCTGGGAGTCAACCTGAAACAATGTCAGGTCAACAAAAACCACCCGAGCTGGAGGCTGACAAAGCCCCAATGTCTGGGCACACTGGCTCCTCTGTGGCAGCCGGCCCAGGCCCCTGGGCCAGAGCGGCCGCATTCTCAGCCCCCGCCGTCCTCTCCCCCCACCCCCCAGGGGGCCTGGCTCGCTGCTCCTTGGGGGGCGGCCAGGGCCCAGGCCCCTACCCCTGGGCTCTGGCTGTTCATGAAGCCAAGACTGAAAGACAAGTTCAAGTCAACAAGAATGAAGAGAGGTATATTTATTTGTTTTTTAAAGATTTATTTGTTTAGTTGAAAGCCAGAGTTAGGGGGAGAGAGAGCGAGAGCGAGCGAGCTTCCATCCACTGGTTCACTTCCCAAATGGCCGCAATGGCCAAGGCTGGGCCAGTCCAAAGCCAGGAGCCACGAGGTTCATCCAGGTCTCCCACATGGAGTGGGAGGACTTGGGCCATCCTCCACTGCTTTCCTGGGCGCATTAGCAGGGAGCTGGATGGGAAGTGGAGCAGCCAGGACTTGAATCGGCACCCATGTGGGATGCCGGCGCTGCAGGCAGTGGCTTTACCTGCTACGCCACAGCGCCAGTACCAAAGCTCTCTTCAGTTTAAGCCACACAGAGTGAGGAGGGAGGGCTGTGGACAGGGCTCTGGGCTCGGGCAGGGGAAATGCCCCAGCCCAGCCCAGGTGCTCACTGGCTGTCCCTCGCCCTCTCTGGGCTCTGCTTTCTCATCTGTCAGGTGCAAGTGTTGGTTCTGTGGCTGCCAGGCTGAAGGCGCCCTCCCCTGAGACAACAGCGACTCGGGGAGGGACAGAGAGCTGGGCCGGGGGCCTCGCCACCGGCGCACTGGGTCCCGGCAGAGAGGAAGCGGGCAGGGGCTTGGGGCCCGGGCCAGAACCCTGCAGTCTGGGGTGGCCTCCACTCCCGCCTGACTCTCCCGGAGCCCACGAGGCCCAGACAGGGGAACTGTGGCTTCCCGAGCCCCAAGTCCCCCCACACTGTCCCCCTGGGCTCCCCCGCCCGCTGAGGGTGCACCGCTTGCTACTTTCATTCTCTTCCGGATGACAGTGAGGGCGGAGACGCAGGTGAATGGCCCCCGTCTCTGGGCCGCGGCAGCCAGCACACAGAGCTGCCTTCGGCCTGGTCAGCAGCCCACCAGCGCCGGCCTTCATCCCAGTCAGCAGCAGAGAGGCCCTGGCCGCTGTGGATCTTCGCCCCCCCTCCCCGTGACTTCTGTGGCCTGGGGTGGTGCATGCCAAGGGAGGGCTCTGCCCGGTGGGCCCAGGCTCCACACCCTCTGCCTGTCCCAGGAGCCAACAGGGGGTCGAGTGCGGGGCTGGGGTCCAGAGAGCACTGACAGCCGGCTGTGAGTGACAGCAAACGTGACACCCGGCTGAGGAGGGGCCTCTGGGCGCCACCCCGCCGCCGGGCAGAGGCCCTGCAGCGGTCCCTTCTGCTCGTGCCGCGTGTTCCAGGGCCTTCTCGGAGCCCTGACTGCACAGGGATGGTTGTCCCAGTCTGGTGTCGTCGCACTTATGCTGGTTCATGCTTTTCCAGGAAGAAGATAGGACGCCGGTCTCTCATTTTATTCCAATCTGGAGTTGGGTCAGGTTTTTTAAGATTTATTTATTTATTTGAAAGAGTTAGAGAGAGAGAGAGAGGGGTATTCCATCTGCTCGTTCATTCCCCAAATGGCCACAACAACCCAGGCTGGGTCAGGTCAAAGTCAGGAGCCAGGAGCTTCTTCCAGGTCTCCCATGTGGGTTTCAGGGGCCCAGGCACTCAGGCCGTCTTCTGCTGCTTTCCCAGGCGCATTGGCAGGGAGCTGGATCAGAAGTGGAGCAGCCGGGACTGGGACAGTGCCCACACGGGATGCGGCAGCCTCACCTGCTAGGCCACAGTGCTGGCCCCTGGGGCTGGGTCAGTTCTGGCAGCAGGCTGGGCCCTGGAGAAGCAGCATGGTCTCGAGGACTCCCATGACCCCCACCCCGGGCTGGGCAGAGGGGTCAGACCCCCGGCATTTGGGGAAAGCGAGCACAGGACACCTTGGAGCATGTCCTAACTGGCCCTCCTGGTCACCCACTCCACACCCTTCACTCTGTCCCTCGGAGTCCCTCCTGGCCTCCTCCTACAGCACTGGGGAGAAGCTTACCATGTTCCTGTCCCACGTCCACGGCCGTCCTTGTCCAAGTTCATGCTCTCAGACGGTTGGGAGCCAAGGCTGGCTGTCGGCAGCAACAGAATGAGCCGAGGAAGGGCTGTGTGGTGCGGGGCCCAGAGAGGCCCTGTGGTGGGGGCGGGGGCGTTCCTCTGCAGGGACAAGACTCCCCACATCCCATCTTGCATGCAGAGTGCAGGTAGCCCTAGGGCAGGGGCGAGGCGTGGTGGTGGGCCATGGGAGGGGCTTTCTCCCCCCAGACCTGAGGACCGGAAACTGAGACTCGGCAGGTGAGGGTGTGGCTTGGAGGTCAGGTGTGCCAGCGTGTGCCCGTGACCGCCAAAGGCAGAGCCAGCTGTAATCTCACACCTGCCCCTTGACTGCCCTTGGCTGCCACCCTCAGGCCCCCTGCGGAGCCCCGCTCGCCGGGCAGCTGCCTCAGCTATACCGTGCAGACAGGAGAGGAGGCAGGAGCCCAGCTCTGCAGGCTCTGGCTGGCAGTGACAGCTAAGGCAAGTGGGCACCTAGATGGCGTGGGGCAGGGGGCTGCTGAAGGGAGGTGTGGTGGCTGGGTCCAGGAGGCTGGCAGGGGCAGGGTCTGGCCAGGGTGGTCTCCGGGGAGCCCTGGTCACTCTTACAGCTGGGACATTGGACTCCAGTGGAAGCGTGGGGGCAGTGGCTGCGTGACCCGGAGCTGGCCACGTCCTCTCTCTGGTCTTCCTCTTCCTCTCTGGGCTGGAAGCCAGGCGGACGGGAGCCTGGAAGCATCTTCTCTGGAAGCAGGTAAGGGCCGGGTTGTGAACAGCAAGGAGCCGGGGCGGGGGGGTGAGGGGGAACAGGTGTCTCCCGTGTAGCAGGCAGCCCGGCTGGGGCTGGCGCAGTCCCGAGGGGAGCACGGGGCAGCGCTTCCTAACCGAGGGCTCTGCGGGAGCCCCAAGGGACCAGCAACTTGGGAAGCAAGAGAAGATGTCCCCAGGAGTCATTCGAGCTGAGCTTTGAGTTCCTCAGGGGGAGGGGCGTGAGACCTTCCAGTGGGGACACCAGAGGTGAGGTGTGGCCGCAGAGCTGCCTGGGGGTGAGCCCAGGGGATGGGTGGCCAGGGAGGTGGAGCCCCGGGGGAAGGAGGAAAGAGGAGGGGGCTAGGCTTGGAAGGGCCCTCAGAGACGAGTCCCTCCAAGCCTCCTCCCCTGAACCCTGCCACCCCATCACCCGCACCACTAGCCCCCTCCGCTGGGCCCCGGGGCCTCTGAGAGCAAGGGGGCGGCCACCGGTCTGGCGGCCAGCAGGCCAGGTCTGTGCAAGGACACGCACTCGGAGACCCCGCCCCAGACTCTGCCTGTGCACCTGCGAGCCCTGGAAGGGACTGGGGAGGGGGCTTGTGCAGGGCCTTGAGGGGCTGGTGGGGTTTCCCCAAAGGGAGGAAGAGAGAGGTCAAAGGGCTGTGAGCGCCTAGCGTTGGGCCCTGGCCCTGGCCTGGTCCCGTGCTCTTGGCCCCTGGGTCTTTGCAGGCGCTGTTCCCTGACCCCCTTCCTCTGCAACCTGCCCTGCAGAAACTCCCGCCTCTGGGGCTCAGCGCTGGCCTAGCCCTCCCGGAGCCTGCCCCTGCCCGAGCCCAGCCCATCTGCGTCACTGCCAGGCCGGTCGCCGCCCTCTCCCCCGCCCCTCAGCTGCTGATCCCAAGGCCAGGCTCTCGGCTCCCAGGCCCTTGACCCTGGCCCAGGGCTGGGCCGGTAGGGGAGATTTCCTGTGTGTTTGTTGACTCCAATGGAAGCAGCGTACAAGTCGGTCCTTATCGGGCTGCCAAAGGAGCAGGCGAGCCGGCTGACGCTGCGAAGGGCCATCCGCGCGCCGCGTTGACCCCACGCACTTGGCTCCTCGGGCCCCACACCTTGCCGCCGCCCTGATTGCCCCCTGCCCCTGACACTCATCCAATCACGGTGCACGCTGCGCCGTCCACCACCAGCGTCCCGGCCCCGCTCCCGCGCGATCCGATGCTGTCGCTGATGCAGGCGAAACGCTGGTGCTTTCGCCGCGCGTGTGCGCTGAGCGATCCCAGCTGCTCCAGCTGCTCCCGCCCCCACTCACCCCCTTCCTGGGGCTCCTCCGGTGCCCCAGGGCCTTTCCTGCCTGGAGGAGTCCCACTGATCCGGTCTGGGGCCAACCCAAGCCCCCCAAAAGGCCTTCTTTGGCCACTCAGATGGCCGGGCCCGAGCTTTGTCACTGCAGGGAACATCAGAAGGAGGTGTGAGAGGGGAACACTGGGCGGCGTGAGCAAGACAGAAGTTAGTGTCCCTCTGACCGGGAGTCTGGAGGCAGGAGGGCCCAAGCTGCCAGGCGCCCCATGGGGTCAGGAACACCGGCCAGCTGCCTTT